GGAATGCTAATTTTTATTTTTAATACTGATATATTTGAAGTAATGTAAGAAAGAATGAGAATAATTAATAATAAATAAATAAAGCTGTAAAAATAAATTACATGTATCAGAAGTAGGAAACTGCAAGATAACTTTTGGGTCATCTGTACAGCAGTAAAAGTGAGGGGACTTATTTACAAGGATTTTAGACTGATGATGATTTCTATGTAACTATATGAACTATCATTTGTCATCCCTCTTGACAACACTCAGAAATCCCTGGTTTGTTGACCCCGTCCGCTGTTCATGTTAATTTCTTCATTGTTTTGTATGCAATAAATTAATTTTGTAATACTTTCTCTTTCAGGTACCTGAAGAGTTGGAAATATTCATCATCAGCTTATTCAATGCTACTGGTGGAGCCAGGCTGGGCAATATAACCAGTGCAATTTTACAAATTACAAGGAATGATGATCCCATTTATTTTGCAGGTTAGATATTATTGTTTTAAAATGTAGAATGCATATCCTACCCTAAACAGATTTTATTGACAGACCAGGTCATTGAGAAATCCTAATCCCAATGGAGCGTTCATGGTTTTTTGTGTTGAATTTGTATTTGTTTCCTTCAGAACCTTCCCTTTTTTTATTTCATTATTCTCTTTGTTGATGCTGGGATTGGTTAGGTGGCTAAGTACAACAATGTTCTCTTGTACCCGCAAGTATTTCCATGCCTTTACCACATATGCCTTCTGTTTCACCAAGGAGAAGGATCCTCTTGGGGAGGATTAAAAAAATAGGCCACATGCAAGGAGCTCAGGCTTGAACTCAGGTAGATTTGTTGCTTGTGTATTTTCAGAACCTCTGACAGTGAGCGTTAAAGAAGGAAGTGTTGCAAACTTTACAGTCCTAAGGAATGGATCTGCTGATGTTGCTGTTGCTGTCCAGTATATTACTGTTAATGGAGATGCAACAGCTGAAGAGGGAGACTTTGTTCCCAGTGGAAGGAGCAGCGTCATTTTGTTCGATGTTGGTGAAAGAGAGCAGAACTTATCTGTGTATATTAACGATGACGATATCCCTGAAACTGATGAAATATTTTATATCTTCCTTTTGAATTCTACAGGTAAAAGTAATGATTTGATGTATGTTTAGTAACTCTCCTTTCTTTTTGCTGCAATTTTTCACCAGCTTGGTCTTATCATAAAGCAGTATATAAATGCCAAGTATTATATGAATAAGGTTTGCTTCAACATTTCTATACGATTACTGTCCACAGTGTGTTTGGATTTTCATCTTGAATTGTTTAATTGGAAACAAAAATTAAATGATACAGCTGAAACCTTCCCTGCAAAAACAACTGGAGTGAAAGTCTCTTTTCAAATGTAAATGCTCCAAATTAGATGGGGTTTTGACTTGACTACAGAAACACAAGGCTAAAAAATGTTAGTACTGCAACAGTCT